GGCGCGGGCCGCCTCTAATCGCCATGGATGGATACCGAGAGCAGAGCTCTTCGGCTCGCCGAAGAAGATACACCACGGGTAGGGAGAAAGTTTTGTAATGACGGGCGCCAAGAAGATACCAGCGCTGCGCGCTGGTCTTCAAACCGGACCGGATGAGTAACCTTTCGGCCGGAGTGTGTTTCACGGATCCTCAATCACATCTCTCTATAGCGCGCGTTGCGCTAGAATTTCAAACTCGCGCCAACGCCGCACACGGGAGGGAGGAGATATTCGACGCGACGCGAGCTTAAGAGTCGGCTTAAGAGTCTTTCGCGTCTGATTAGCGGGAACGCGACGATACCTGGCGCGGTCGTACGATAATAGCATATCGTTGGCGCGGACGTTGCTCGTTGTTGACAGGCTGCCATTGTATGGACGGGCAACGGGTAATGAAGTCGCGCGATGAAATTCTTCATCGCGCAGCGCGCGAGATCCGTTGCTTCGACACGTAAATCCCGCTCACGTAAATCTAGTGATAATTCGTAAAGCGAATCAGATTTCAATGCCGCGTCATTACGCCGAGTCACGCGGCGAGTCTGTGAACCGCTAAAACTGCGTCGAGTTGTACGCTGTCATCCGCCTACAGGCATCCTATACAGGACGTCTCAGACTCGGCAAGCCGGTCTGCTCCCTACCAGCTACGTGGTATCTGCCCGATTCGCGCGCGGTAAAGGATAATTCATAACGCGGCAACAAATGCGAAACGCATCGTCCTACGTTTATCGCACTGGCCTAATGAAATTCCTCGATGAGCAAGGCGCGATTGTACGCCGGAGGGAGCAGCAATTATTGTGCTCGCGATGCGTTACTCGAATTGCAACCGTGTTACTATAAATTCTCTAACTCTCCTTCGCTCTGTGCAATTGAGAGTATAACAAACCTCGATAAAAGGATATTTTCGGGTCCTGCTCATTTATAATATTATGTCGTTAATACGTCGATTATAATGTGAGCCTCTCGCCTAGAATAAATAAAATTAACATTGTTTCGAGAACCGTAGGTATGTTAAAAGAAACACTCTGTGTGTGTGTGTGTGTGTGTGTGTGTGTGTGTGTGTGTGTGTGTGTGTGTATACTCAACTACAAGCGCGAGCTCCACGTGCGAGCCTTGGCTTCCGACTTCTTCGCTTTCGACGTCACGATCCGCCCGATGACCGATGGGACGTCGAGGAAAGTCGTTGAATGAAACGAGCCGTTAAAACGCGTACGCAGGAATCTCTCTCTTTCCTCGGCGAATTCTCAGAACGTATCCCTGAACTTTTGTCGTCGGGCGCTTTCGCGTGCAGCGCAACCCGCGCATAAATAATGCCACGCCGCACGACGAGAGTTTCAGAGAGCGAAATGAGCAACGACGATTGTCCGTCCGACGGCATCGATTTATGCGTGTACTTCGACCCGACGTGACGTCGATGATGATGGCCGCGGCAGCGGCAGCGACGACACGTCGCGCGCGACGAACGGTGTAAACGGGCCTTAAACTCTCCGCGTTGCATTTTGCGCGTCGGTTGCATTCCCGCGCTCGCACAGAAGAAGATCTCTCTCTCTCTCTCTCTCTCTCTCGTCTTGGCTATGCCACGTGATTGCATACCACGTCGTCACCGTCGTCGCCGTCGCCGCCGTCGTTGTCGTCGTCGTCAGCCACTCTGCACGACTTGCATCCGCAAATTCGCAAATGCGATCCCTGTCCCCCGTTGAATTTTTCGCGCGGATTCTTGCCGCGCGTTTGACGCGTCGACTCGACACACGATAATTGACTAGCTAAGTGTCGTAGGTGCGCCCAACTGGCGAAATGAAATATTTCCAATATTTCATTGAAATATCGGAAACAAGAGAAACATAGAAAGCACATTTGTCATCCAACGCATTAGGCGCTGAAGAGTTATGAAAGACCTTTATAATTATAATTAGATAAACTAATATCTAGTAGATATCTAAAAATTACAATAACTTCCTCCATAACTGAACTACGTCGAAATAACTTAATTATTTTCAACCGTTGCAATCACGAATATAAACTTTTTGCGGCAATATCGGTTCTTTTCTTCCAAGTATCGTCGTACAGAGGTATTTTTCTTTCCGAATATAGGTAATAAATTAGGATTAGAAACAGTACAAGTGCCAAACGCAGCGAGTTTAGAATGAAAAAAAACGTATTTTGCTCCCTTTATAATGAATTCTTTCGCACTTTACATCGAACATTTGTAACGAAATACGTTTAAAGCATAGATTTATAATCAAGTAGAAAATGTTGAATGATATATAAATCATGTACCATTAATTTTACACATATTGTTTCAGCCGTAATAATGGATCGACTTATAAACGCGATTCAGAAATAGATTTAGAAATTTTACTATTCCATTTAAACTTCCAAACTTTCAAGTTAAAAAGAAAATATATTAGCTGATAAATGTAGCTTTGTGTAAATAAGAAACAGTACGGTATTGCTTGTATAAATTTACATAAAATTTTTGCAATTTTATTTATATTAAAAAGATGTAAGTTCAATGAAGTGCTGATTATTAAAATGTTAAGATTTGAAAAATTAAGCTAGTCATCTACGTCGTCAGATAACCGATGATTATCGAATAACGAAGGATACTTAAGAATTAAAAAATATATCAAATTATAAACTCGGGACGTCGCGCGCGAACAAATATTTTTCCATTTTCAACAAATCTCTTTTTCCTCTTTTTACTCGGTTTCAAGTGTCAAAGTGAACAAGGCGGATTGACACTTGTGATGATACTTGTGAAGAAGAATATAAACTGTTACATATTACACGCAATCTCAAGCTTCCAAGATTGAATTATTTCAAATTTGACAGCCAATTAGCGACACACCGAGTAACGAAATACGTAAAACGATACATCTCGTCTCTCTGTTGTATGCAATGTGTAACGCAGAGCTTTGCCGAACCAGGAGCTCCCGAGCTTTATAATTATAAACACTATAATGCATTATTAACGTTTTAATTATGCGCGTGCCGCGCTAAATAGTTCGACATAAACATTCGCTTTGCAGTTCTAACATTTTGTTCGACTCGTATATGCGTTACACTCGTTTAATATCATTAAAAGATCAACTGTCGCGTTTTATACAAGCTATTTTATTATTAATTAATAATTAATAACTTATCGGACTATCGCTCGGTTTAAAATTCTATTTCACTCGTGACAATCAGTTATGTCTTTCCGTTTCATTATTTTGCGGTGACAATTATAGCCTTTATTTTCCGTGAGAGAAGATTGTACCGTAATAAAAATGCAACGCCATAATTTTGAAGCTTACGACGGGCATATATGATCTATGTAAATATATTCGGCTACAGAAGAAAGAAGCGCTCGATATATTATCGCTTTTTATCGTTGTGATAAGCATTCGCTCTTATCAACGGTAAAGTACGTAGTGCTTTTCCAAACTTCTCAAGATATCAACTGTTTCCGTTAATTAAAAAAATAGTTGAGTAAAAGAATACGAGTAATATTTTCACATAATCGAAAAAGAATAAAAAAATTTCATCCAAAGGATTTTGCTAATTATCGCCATGTCGTAATCCAATGTGCTAATGCCAATGTTTCGTGATACAACCTTGCCTTTCATCTCGTCAAGGCGAGAGAAATACAAGTGTAGGTAATCACAAACCTATTAATCTCTCCTTACTAATTGCGCTAATTTCATAATTAAGCTTAAGAAGTAGAGTTTATTGTTAAACTAAATCTAGAATTAATCACAAATTCCTGATTGACTTTTCGAAAATCAATCTCTGTTACATAAAATTTAATAATCAACATATATGAAAATTAAGCTAAGAACTAAAGATTAATATCGACAAAAAGATTATAGGAAATGTTTCTTCATCATTATATTACCGAGTTATAATAATATCAAGTATAGAATAAAAAATGCATTAATTACGAAATAGAAGCTCTCTTCCCAGGCGCGTCTCTGTGAAACGTCCGTTCGTAATGTAATCGTATGACGTGTGAATCATCAAAAATATCGTTACGTTCGCATAAATTCCAGCCGGATGAATTCTCGCACTGAGAGTCTAACCTTCGTACTGTCGCGTGTCACAATTGTTTCCATACGAAACGGAAGTCTTCATACCGCTGTAAACGTGACTCCGAATGTGACTTCGACTCGCATTCATGCTGCGCATATTACCTCGAACTCGGTTACTTGATTCTCGCGTCCCGTGATAAAAATCGCGCGATTCTTGCATTAAATGAAACTCTGACCGGCCACACTTTGAGAACGTGGACGGCGTTCGGTATTTTATCGCGTTTCACGTGAATCATCGGTTTTAGAAGAATTATTATATTGTATTCCGATTGTGTGTGTGTGTGTGTGTGTGAGAGAGAGAGAGAGAAAGAGAAGTGTTTTGATTAAACCCAACAAAAAGGTCCAACAAGAATGACATTTTCAGTTGATTATCGTAACCAGAAATTCTGTTTGGTCTCAAACGAAACTGTCATTCTTGTGCGTTCTGAGCCTTTTTGTCGGTTTAATTAAAATTAATACAATGATTTTCAGTGCACACATTTCAGTGCGCAATTAGAAATCGTCTTGGCAAAAAGTGACGAAAAAGTGAGGAAAAATTGCTGACAAATCGAAGATCATTCAAGCGAAACCAATGTCGAAAGTACGAACTCTGCGATCTGAATATCGTCCGACATCACTCATCACGATTATACATCTTTCAGACGCATGTGTACGCGCTTCTGCCCGCTCGAAATGTCTCTTGGGAAATTGAGAGATTTAACATGAAATGGTAGCACGCGCGCGTTGCGGTACGTGAAACGTCCCTGATCTAAGACACGTTTCGGGAAAAGCACTTCAATTCTCAATGTTGCGACTTAAATTAGATCTTGGCAAAGCCGGCGCGAACCCGGCCTGCCTCAAGCGCGAACGTCTCGCGAAGAACTCGCGTGAGGGAGAGAGAAGGGAAAATTCACTTACCTTCCAACCGGCGCTGCTATTGTTGTCACCCTTGTCCTTGAAGTAGGATACGTTCTGGACCATCCACTCGTAGATCTGCGAGAGGGTGAGCCGCTGATCGGGCGCGCTGGTGATCGCCTGGGTGATGAGGTCGGCGTAGCTGAGGTTTCCCCAGGCGTTCCTCCTCGACGAGTTCTTCTTCACCGGCAGGAGACCCTGGGCGAGCTGCGCCTGATGGGGCGGCGTGCCGCCTTCGGCGCCTTCCTTCGCGGTTGGCGCGTTACCCTCGACGTATCCTTCTGGTCGCGGTAACGGCCATGTGTTGGACCGCGCACGGGTCTGCGGCTCGAATCCGGTTTCCAGATCTGGCGAAGTGGAGAACTCGAACGAGACTCCCTTCTTCTGTGTCTGCTGTTGCTGTTGTTGCTGCTGCTGCTGCTGCTGCTGCTGCGACGGAGTCATCGACCCCGACGCCGTGACCGGCACCGAATCCATCATACTTGCCGGGCCGTTCTGCCAACTCCGATCAAGTTCGCGATCGTACGCGTAACTCCTCAACGGAGATCGATAATCTACAATCGGTGACGCCGGGAAAAAACTCTGTTCGCGTTCGCGCGCGATCGAGTGGTACCAGTCGGGCTGCGTTTTGAATCACTGTACGTATACGTGTGTG